TTCAACACTTGTGCAATATGCATTTTAAGTAATCGAGTTACCGATAACAAGTTATTTTTGTAGTAATTCTCGAAAATTAGTTATTACTTGTGTTTTTTTGTTAATAGAGAGTGGTGGGACTAGTTTTTAGTTTCCAAATAAAATTACCTCGATCGTTCTAGTTTGCTTTTAACGATCAAACGTTGTAGTGTGCAGTTTCTTTCTCGCCCTCGTAAAAACTGGCAGGCGAACTCCTTTCCAGGAAAGCGTGGACCCTCTTTCCTCCAGAGATGTCAAACTCCCTGTACCCCACGAGAATTCCCTTCGAGGAGTCGAGCATCTTCAGCCAGGTGAACCTGGAGAAGATTGATGTGGCCAGGTTTCCCAAAACAAAGGTATGTCCTGTCACATCTGACCACGGACAGCAGGAGTACTGGCTATCGCAGATTTAAGGGATTGGCATGAATGAGTCCAGGACGTGTGCTGCAGGTCCTCAGAAGGTGGAGGAGGCATTAAATGAAAAGCATACATCTCTGCTTGGACAAGTTTAATTGTCTGTGGAGTCTGTTTGTGAGTTAAAGTGGAACAATTTTTTCACTTCTCTTAGAATAAATGCTTCCTGTTAAGAACAAGAAATGAGCATCAAAATTTGTTTGCAAGTGCTGTTGTTTTTAGTCTTCAGAAAGGTGCATTTATGAGGCTAACACAAATTCCTTTTCCTCCCCAATTCCCTCCCCATCTTCCCTTAGACTAAACAATTCTAAACATTCAAGAAGGAAAAAAGAAAAAGATGAATGTTTTTACATGAAACATTATGTTATGCTAAGAGGAGACTACCCTTATTGTTTTCGCTGTAGAATTGCATATTTTGTGATATGAACGAACAAAGTTCCACCAAAACCAAAAGGGCTTAGGGACTCTGATGTCAGAGTTTACGGCAGACATGGGCAGTGCCGAAGATACATTCGGGCGATTTGCTCTCCCGAATCTCCCCGCGAGCACAAAGCCACAGAGTCTGGCGCCTTGTGAAATCACAAAGCGCCACACTGCTCCTTCCTTAATATCGGAGTATGCAAAAAATCTGGCGTACGGCTAAAAGGAAGTCGACGCGGCCCTTTAAAACAACCGCGACAGATGAGGCCGTTTCTACCCTAGGTGGGTCACAAATGTCTTCGGTCTCGAAGGATCCCGGTCGGCAAGGATCCCAGAACGTCCAAATCTCAGCCATGGTGATGACCCCAACCCCTCGACGTTCAGGCAGACGTTAAGTCGGTCAAGAACGCGGCCTCCGAATGTCGGCAGCCGTAAAGAAGCTCTGTGCATTCTAGCATCCAAAAAATGTTGGAGCAAATGCGGCTCTTGGAAAAAACCACTCGGTCTTTGCCGGATAGCTTTTCTAATCGCAAATTGGAGACCACTTGGCCGTTACCAAAGTCGCAGTGTCCCACTTGGGTTCATTCGACCTAAATTGACCGGTGTGAACTGGCCCATTTAACTCTTTCCTGACCGCGGGAAAAGTAGCAATTTTCGAAGTATTTGTGCAAACGCTTTTATTTTCCTAACTTGCGTATGGAGAAATATGACACATCAAAATGTGGCCAATTAGTTGTTCTTTCAAAAGAAACAGGTCAAACTAATGCGGGAAAAATATTTAAAAATTTTATTTCTTGAAAGTACAATCTATGTGCAAAAAACATGTAAATGCCAAACTTCTAGAGCTATGTCAAATTAAACAACAAACAAGAAAAATTCAGAATACAGAAAATGTGCCCCAGACCCACCCACTGGTATCCCTTCTGAAAGTTAACGTACCCTAACTGACGTTATCCGTTTTCGGTCCGTCAGAGTTAGCCTCCGTAATGCGTGTACTTTTCAATGAAGGAATGCTTATATTGCTAAAACACAGATAATACGCCTCACATCCCCAGCAGAGTTGTTTGTTTGTGTTCTACCTTGGCTTTTTCATAGCCTTGATTGCAGTTCTTTCATATTTAGCATCTTTGTCCACCTTGTTGGGAACACAAAACATGCACGCTGGCTCAGGACAGCATTGGAAATTTTAGTGATGCTTACCGACAAACATCTGTTAGGTGACCCCTATAACATCATTTGAATTGTCCCCAGAGTTCTTGAGGTTTAAAAAATATGCCACAATACAGTTGAATTATGTAAATAACGCCAACTTTGTTACGATGACTGATGCAACCAGTTAGCCTGGGTCCAGACATTTCATTGAACGCCGTTTCATCGAACACCATTTCATTGAAGCCGTTTCATCGAACACAGTTTTATCGAACGCCGTTTCATCGAAGCCGTTTCATCGAACGCCGTCTACTTGAGCAGTAGGAATTCTACACCTAGAAAATATATTTCTCTTTAGCGCCAGGAGGATAGCAGTGTTTTAATATTTATTATAATTTATAAATCTATACATATATAAAAGAAAGAAACCTTTTTGTCACCTTCTATTCTTTTCTTTTAGTAAATGATGACCTCTAATAACGTGGCCAATAAGAAATGGGAACAATGACAACACTTTTTAAAGCTGTAATCATTATGTGCAGTGATGTTCAAGGGCGTATATAACTTCGTCCTTGAAGAAACCTGTTCTGCTTCAAGACAAAGCCACCCTTGAAGCAGTGATCTGTCTCTGTGGCCCATGATACGGGGGAAAAGACGGGGTGGCATTCGAAACGCCAAAAATCAAAACACTGAATTATCGGAGGGCCGAAATTTAAAACACTTAAAATTTAAAAAGCCGTAACTACAAAAAGCCGAAAAGTCAAAACATTAAAACATCAAAATGCCGAAATATCACCTACCGTAGAATACTGTCCATCTGCCCATTCCACTCTAAGCGCCCACCCCCAAAATTTGAAACGCCTGAAAAAATATGCAAAATACATATATATGTGAATTGATGACCTCACATGTGCCCACCCCCTATTTTTTCGTGATTATCTTCAAATTTTGAGTGAGCGCTTGCTCGGTATTTTACCGAGCAAGCGCTCACTCAAACTTTAGCTTCCACTACAGTTATAGTGGAAGCTAAAGTTACTTGGCTAGATAAATTTTCTTGGCAGTGTGATCCAGGTTAAAGCTCTGGCTGCGGCCTCACCCGAGGCCGCCGCCAGAGCTTTGATCCGTTCTTGAGTACGAAGAACTGTAACTCTGCACATATCCGGAGCATGGCCTGCGTGGGTCACTGTCTTCGAGATGATCTTGTGAGTACCTTCTACTGGACGGTCGGTAATCACTCCAGTGTTGCATTCGCCTCGCGTCTCGCACCCCCAATAGTGTCTAGAACCTACTTTCTTGTCAGGCATGTAAACGTAACTGTCTTTGCAGCTAAGTTTTGCTTTTCCTTTCTGGGAGCACACCACAACGGCATCTTCGTCCATTTCCTTCCGAATCAATGAAATTATTACTGCCACACATTGCTGCTGCTCTTGTACTCTGAACACTAGGCAGCGCTGTTTTCTTCTGCTGACCAATAAGAGCTGTCCTGTCCGACTGATATGCCTAGCTTTACGACAGATAGAAAAACACGAAATTTCACATCATTTTAATCTACTGATAATGGTGCCTTTGCAGAACGAGTTAAACAGGCTCGTGTCAGTGGAAAGTGATCTGGCAGAAAACGAGCAAGCAATAGTCAAAAAAACATGTTTTCTTTTTTTTTTTCATGTGGTTTTCGGCGTGATGTCTTTGCGGCATTTTGATTATTCGGCATTTTGATTTTTCAGCATTTCAATTTTTCGGTGTATTGACGTTCGGCCTTTTCATGACTCGGCCTCTTCATTTTCGGCGTTTTGACAGGGACCCGAAAAGATGTGTCTCCCCTCTTTGTTAATTTATTGTAACCGACAGAACCATAGACCTGCCAGATATTCGACATCCAGTATATATACTGCATTTCGAAGATCTGACAGGTCCATGGTTCTGTCGGTTGCAATAAATTAACGAGAAGGGGAGACGCGTCTTTTTTAAGAACAACATGTTCTTAAAAAGAAAGCTATTCTTCTAGCAGGGGTTCTCAAACTTTTTGGTCTCAGGGAACCCCAGCAACCTTTAAAGAGTGCTGAGGAATACCCACCTTCCCCCCTTCCCCGCTGTTTTGCTGCCTGGATACACTTTCAATAGAAGAGTTCACAAAATATTTATTGCACAGATAAATATGGAGGCGCGGAGGGGAGGATTTGCCGGACGCCGGACCACCGTAGCCGGACCGTGGCGGACCGGCGGGACTCGCATCACCATTTCCCGCCCGTGTTGAGAAAGGGCGCCGTACGTTCTCAGGAGAGCTAGAGTTGTGTCGATTTATTGATGGCACGAGCGGGTGCGGCGCTCGCCCCGCGCCTTTCCGTGCGCTGCAGTTTGCGGCCGCACAGCTGAGCGGCTGAGTCCCGCGTACTTCGATGAATAGTAAATCGCGTTTTAAGCTGAAAGCCCCGCGTCTCGTCGTCACGTCCACATGTGTGTTTAGGATGTGGGGGTTACTTACTTGGGTGCTCGCAGAACCCATTAGGATAAAATGAAAACAGAGGTAAATCAACAAATGCAAAATAAAAAAGGCGCTGCGGAGAATAGCTCTTTCCCTCTTAAGAAAGTGCCTTTCACTCGTGAATAAATAGAGGGATGGAGTGGGAAAAATTGTGTGGCCGAGAACAGCCGCCTATCTCTCCAGAAAAGAATAAGTCGCGTATCCACTCAAGTTTTGATTTGATAGCTACCTTCTATGATTCAGTAGCCAACATTTAGGTGGAAAAAAGATTCACCGGGTAGTAATTCTATTTCTGGTGAATTTAGAGTGGCGTCAAAACTATTTCAAAAGTGATAATAAATTATGTAAAAAGTAGTATATTACTCCAAAATTCAGTAAAGAGAAATTCGATGAAACGGCGTCGAGTGATTCAATGAGACGGCGTTCGATGAAATGTCCGGTACCCCAGTTAGCCATGTTAGACAAGTGCAACCACCGTTCCCAGGACTGTTTTTGACAGCCCATCAGCTTGTGATAGAGCTCAAAACTACATTGAAATTCAAACTAGAGTTCTTCGGCTATTTACGAGATTGGGAAACATAATTCTTTGCACCAAATTAAATGTTTTGACAGCGCTTGGAAATCATTGATTACCGGTGATCAATGGCCTATGGGCGCGGTCAGGAAAGGGTTAAAAGATTGGATTTCCGATCTCTTTTCGGGTATAGATTGAGGCCACTTGAACTTGATTATGAATGGGATAAATGGAAACAAACACCACCAACAGAATTCTCATAGTGATTCGTCGTGCTGTCACATTTGTGACCAATAGCGTCTGTCTTTTAAGAAGTCTTAAAACATATGCCCATATGTGATTAGAAGTTAGCAAAGGAGAAGCATGTAGTACCTCAGTTAAGGCAGTTGCTTTAATTTAGTACTTCAATATAGCCAACAACTTGTTATTGCTTAGTATAAACCATTGCAGCATCCCTTGAATCATATGGTAAAGAATAACTATTCGAGTTGTGCTAAATATTCATTCAATTATTGACATGAAACGTGTCAAGCTCGTCTTAACCAGTTGAACTCATGGTGTGGGTTTAATACCCAATAGTATTGCCAAAGTGACAAAATCTGGAATCTACATTCGTTCTTGCCTATGAAGGATACTGGGAAAATGACCTCGTCTGGAACTCATCTCAAACATCTGAAACATGTGCAAGAACCTCGAAGTTCAAGAATAATATGCCTTTCCATCAAATAAATTAAATTGTAGAGCAATGAATCTCAACCTCAACATATAGGCAGCCTTGTGCTGAGCACTAGATTTCCTTTTTGTTTATTCATGCATTTCTAACTCCTGGAGACATGCAATACTGCTGTTGTAAATAGATTGCTGCATTAACAGAAAAAGGTTTTTTTCTTTGTGCATACCTACCTTGAATTGCTTCGTATAACACTGGTGCTCGCTAAATCCAAGAAGAAAAGCCCTCATGGAAGCTGCTGGCATAGCTTTTGGTGTAGTCAACATCCACATTATGTGTGGAAGAAATGTGGAGAAAAAAGTTGCTTATCATATACAGACATTCTTTTCCTTGAAGAGAATGAACTTACCCTAAATCAGTGGTTCTCAATCACTGAAACTTTGGAGGGCCGGGGGCAATATTGAACAACTGCAATGACAAGAGGGCAAATCAAAAAAAGTAAATGGATGCAAACCAACTTCGCAGCCCTGAAGCAGAAAACAATCAACTCTACTTAATCAGTGCACATGGTTTCGTCTCTTTAACTTTGTGGGGCAGCCAGCATCAATAAAAACAAACTTTCAGTGCTCTGCTCGACTGATATTGAAGGCTTTAGGGATCTCGAGAAGGCCTTCACGGACCCCCATTTGACAACCACTGATCTAAATAATGTGCATGAGTTTCACTCACAGTTCTTAGTGACTGGTAAAGAAGTTGACCCCGTCCTTGCTGCCTTGAGTCACATTTATAGTCTGCAGAACCAGCAGTAGTAATAAATCCGGAAAAAACCTAGACTAATTTCAAAGGTGTGCTCTGCAAAACAAGCCTTTCATGCCATGATATTTCTCTTCAAGTCCCAAATTACTGGGGATGTGTTTTAGGCATCAGTGTGCATCCCTATAATGTACTGTAAGCAACTTAATTTGAGAATCTAACTTTTGCAATTTTTGCGACTCAACAAATTTTGCGAAGAATCGATCACGAAAATATATTGCCAGAAGAACATAGAGTGTAGCACAGACAATCCCAAAATTTTCAAAATATTCCTAAACCCAAACTTTCGCAAAATATTAATTTCTATAAAATAAAAGTCATTTACAGTACGTAACGTCCCGACGCAAGGTTTATAACTAGGGTTTTGTGTTTTCGGTATATACCGATAATTAACCCCCGACTTGTTTTTTTCTGGATCGGTAAAAACCGAAAAACACCGAATTCAAGCTGCGGAAAAAATGGCAGCTTTACTGAAAGAATCTTCTAGCCCGCTTTCTTTTCTTGTTGACCCGGAACATAGCCCCACTGAACTGTCCTTGGAGTCGTCCCGTTCTTTTGAAACCATGTACTTTGCCCCGTTCCTGAGCTTTGCCGACCTACCATCGTTAAAAAAGGAACTCCTAGATTATTCATTGCATAAAGTTCCATCTGCAAAAGTTTGCATTGGCAGCTTGTGGAGAGCGCTCAGCAAGGAATGGCCGGTCTTGTCAAAAGCTTCTTTTGATTTTCTCGCCATCCCCGTTTCAAGCGCGAACGTGGAGCGTGCGTTTTCTGGACTGTGTTTCCTCAGCCGCAAGGAACGTGCTCCGATGACTGACAACTCTTTGACAATCTATGTGTCAATTTTTTTCAATAAGTTTAAGTTTTGATATCGTGCTTCTGAAAGCGTCACGCTTTCTGTTATTTCAATATGTATGTTAATTGTGTGACGTGTTTGGTGTCTGTACAATAAATGTGTATAATGTGAGGTGTGCCATGGTTTTTCTAGTAATTATGCAGTCACTTTGCAACGCAAGCCCCGATAATCACCGATTTCTTTCCAGCATTGAAATTAAACACCGAAAAACACTGATTCCAAGAGAAAAAATAAACACTGATAAATAACCCCTGAATCTGAAGTAATTTGATACCGAAAACGCGGAACCCTAGTTATAACTAGGGTTCCGTGCTTTTGGTAAGTATTAATAAACCCCGAAAATTAACCCACAAGGTTTGTTTTTTGTTTTTTTTCAAACTTGGTGAATATTGATAAACTCCCAACGGAAGCTGTCCTTAACTTCAAAATACCCTGCTTCACAAAAAAAAAAGAAAGAAATTGTCTATAGCTTTTTTTTTGTCGACCTAGAACGCAACTTTCAATAAACTGCCCGCGAGGCTTCTATATTTGCTTCAGAACCACCCCCAATATCTCATCACCTTTTTTTACTGGTGCGGGGACATTTTCTAAGTACTCAGGCTGTGCGTACGTTTCCCGGAAGTTGGGGAATTTCATGCACGTGGCCCATTTTCTTCAACACAAGCGATGATAAACTCCAATTTTTCGTCTGACAGAAAAAAAATTTATATACCGAAAAACCCGAAATTTGTGGGAAAAAACAAACCTCGAAAGAACACCCCCTGATTTGAAGAAAAATGAAGCCCGAAAGCACGGAACCTCGGTTATAACTTGGAGTGCACCCATTAACTTGGCAGCTCCTCAAGCCCTACCATGTGGTCCTGGAGCCTGGTGACGTGCTCTTCGTGCCTCCCCGCTGGTGGCACTACGTCCGCTGTCTCGACACCTCCCTCAGCGTCAACACCTGGATACCCCTGGTGAGTACGCCGTCTGTGGTGGCTGTCGACAAACGTTTTCCAGCCTTCTTGTGCGCAGCTGCATGCACATTTAATACGTGTACCAAATTTTCCGGCCTTAAGTCCCATCCTTCTATGAGAAAAAAATTGCTATATACTAAGTTGCTCTTTTGTGTAGGCAGAGTGGTTAATTGGACTAGTTGGCTCAAAGTTTAAGAAGTATAAAAGTGACGAAAACAACAAGGACCAAGACGAAGTAAGAACAACACAAATCACACTCGCAACTTCTGTGCATTCGGAAGGAGTTCTCTCCGAATATACGACAGTCGTGAGTGCCCGTTGTGTTGTCTTACTTTGTCTCGGTAGGAGTTCTCTCCGAATATACAACAGTCGTGAGTGCCCCTTGTGTTGTCTTACTTTGTCGCGGTCCTTGTTGTTTTCGGCACTTTTATACTTTTTAAACCTTTGTATAAGGTGCACTTATATATTTGTGATCGATGCGGCAAAACTGCATCGATAAACCCGCATATGTCTATTATAATCGACATAAACGTGCAATCGGGAGCTATACTCTGCGACAGCTTTTCTTGGCAATGCAGTGGAAGGTACAGGCCTGCGTTCCCTCTCCCATTTTGAGTGTGCGCGGTCTCTCCTCCTCTCCCCGGAGATGCGGAGAGGAGGAGAGCCCGCGTACACACCAAATCGGAGAGGGAATGCAGGCCTGTACCTTCCACTGCATTGCAAAGATAAGTTGTCGCGGAGTATAGTTTTAATATTTTCGCCGATGAGTCGAATGAAAAATATAACCCCCGTAGCAAACTTGCACAGTTAAGGGGGGACATAGCCTCGGAATTCAAAATTTTCAGAAAAAATTTTTTTTTTCAAAAAGTATATTTTTATGTTTATTAACTTCCAAAGAATAATTTCAGAAAATTTCCTTTTTATACATGCCGGATTTATCTCAAAATAAATTATTTTCGACATGTCGGCAGCCCTCCGAGTCAGCATAAAGCAAGTTTTGTGTGTTTTTTATTTAGCGCTGCTTCATACCCGTTTAACATAGCCAGAACATCTCACCCTCATTGGAAGCGCCATTTAACCTAGATCTATCCCGTAGAGACTTTCAGCATTCAAAAGTATTAATTGCCAGGAGAACCCTTTACATCCAAACAGAAAAAATCCAGAAAATTTGGTAAGAGCAATCTTACTGGTTGAGACCCGAAACAGAGTTTACGATTGGTCCTGCCCGGTGATGCGATATTGTGACATCTTCAGCAACATCCTTTCACAGTATCTTCCACATTAGATAATATTCCTGCTTTGCTGTTCTTCCTTAGTATGATTTGCCTTTTAGTTCTTGCCAGTTTATCTGTCAAGGAATGCATGCTACAAGCGTTAGCTTGCCTACAAATGACACAAACTGGTAGCTATTGCCAGGGGAACAACAGTCTTGAAGAGGAAGGTGCTAACAATGTTCCAGGCGAGTTTTGCCTACCTTGCACTCAGAAAAGAAAGAAACCTAAAGTTGAAACTTCAAATGCATTTTTCTCGGCTTCACTTTTTGGCAGGAAATGTGGTATGAAGAAATGTATCATTTGACATTTTGAAAGTATAAAGATTTCATTCAATGGTGTCCTGGACTGAAATTTCTTAAAGAACAAGTTAAGGTACTCATGATATGAAAAAGCAAAATTCTTGCTGACAAAAACTGAAGATTATAAAACGCAGAAATTTGTTAAAATCTTTTGCTCTTTGTGGGTGTTATTGTTTTTCTCTAGAATTGCATTTTGTACAAATAATTTTTACCTTAACTTGCACTATAGGTATTCTACTTCCCATTAAAACAAACATTTTGTGGATTGCCATTATTATATTTTTTAAATACATTTCCTCCTGAAGTCACTTTTTTCTGGAGCTTTTTAAGCACTGTGTGTTGTAGAATTGGCCTACAAGACTGAAACTTTAGATGTCACCAATCCTAATGGGATTCAATTCACCCTCAAAGTTTGAATCAATTTAAGGGAACGGTTCAAAAGTTGATCCTCCCAGGCCATGTCCCCGTACTTATAGGAAAAAAATGCATGCAGGTCGCACCAACGGAAAGTTTGAAAAAAAGCCCATACTTCTATACCAGCAAATATTCTGCACTTATAGTTCTCAATGGGACGGTAATTTAGTGGAGAATCTTTGTTACCTGATTTGTATATTGGAACGACCTTTCCCTTTTCCAGTCCTCTGGTATGATGGCTGTGGTGAGGGACTGAGTGAACAGTAAGCACAAATACGCTGTGCTCGCATACTTAGTATTTTTTAGGAATTTAGAGCTGATTTTATCTACGCCGGGTGACAATACAGTTTGATATTATCGATTACAGAAGAAATGCTATCTGCGAAAAAAGTGACGGGGGCATTGCTCTCACTATGTTAGGAACAAACATGGGAAATGGCGTGTACAGTTCTTCGGTGAAAACTAATGAAAAAGCGGTGTTAAACATGTTTGCACACTCCGGATCATTAGCAACTTCACCCGATTCCTTTCTAAGGGAAACAGTGTGCGTCTGCTGAGGGTTTACAATTTGCCAGAACTTCCTGGGGTTGTTGAGTAGGATATTAGGTAGGTTGGTGTGAAAGAAAGAGTGCTTAGCGCATCGGATGGCAGACAGATACGCGTTTTCAGCTGCATAGTATTTGTCCCAAGCACAAGGGGTTGTCCTTTGCTTGGCTGCACGGAATAGTCTTTTTTTCTTATTTTTTAGTCTTTTCAGAGTTTTGGTGAGCCATGGTTTTTGGCAATTGGCACAAAAGCTGACTTTCGGAATGAATTTATTTACCAGTTCTTCTATCTTGCTTTTGAAAATCAACCAATTTTCGTTCATGGATCGGTCATGAAAAGATGACTCACAAGATCTAAAGACGTGCTCAATTCATTATTTATGGCGTCTTAATTTCCTTTATCATAGAGACGGTTTGTTTTCTTGTATGTTTGCCGTGCTATCGGAAGAAACTCAAAAACAGCGTGAATAACTCTGTGGGCACTGATTTCGCGGAGGAAAGTAATGGATGATAAGCTGTCCGGTTGACTTGTTACAGTGAAACCCGTTTATAACGAACAGCAGGAAACGCTACGATCAGTTCGATACATCAAGTAATTCGATATGGCAAAAACCATTTACAACGAACTTCCATGATGCGTTTGTTGTAAAGCGAGAGCTTCTCTTTCTTTCTCATCTCTTCGCTTTCGCCTTGTAACAACGCGTGGAAGAGATATTTTTTCTTTTTTTTTCATGCATGCATGCAGAGTTTCTTTTTTAGCTTATCTCCCCTTTTGAATCGCTTCTCTTCGTGTGCAACCGTTTTGGGATGAAAAGTTTTTTTGTTCTGTGCGTGCACACAGGGTGTATTTTTAAGCTTTCTCCCCTTCTGAATCTTCTCTTTGCTCAGTTGTGTTTGCAATTTGAGCTTTTGAAATTTTCCTTCTTTCCTACTTTTCTTTCTTGGGGGGGGGGGGGGGGGGGGAAGGGACAGGCTAGAATACGATTGTTTGCGCGTTTTTGGGAGCCTTCCCGGGGGGGGGGGGGGAGTTCGATATAGCCAATATGTTGTTCGTTATAAAAAGTACTTTTTACATGCATTTTTATTTAAATTTATTGTGAGTTCGATGTTGACAATAATTCGCTGTACGTGGGTTCGTTCTAAACGGGTTGCACTGTAGTATTAGGTCTAGAACATTTGCAGATTTGTTTGATATGCGTGTTGGTTCTGATACCAATTGGGCGAGATTGAAGTTGAGACATACTTCCATAAATTCCCTCGTTTCTGCGTTACCCACAGTTAGATTTGACGAGCTAGTCCAATCAGCATTCGGGTAATTAAAGTCTCCAAAAAGGAGGATATGTGCGTTGGGGTGTTCTGTAAGTTGACTTAAAGGGATACTTTAACGAAATTTGAAATATTCCCGTTGTGTTCAAAAATAGGTTGAATATGATCCACAATATCCGTAAATGACAATCGCACGTTTGTATTTTGAGCCTGGTGGGTGTCTGAGCCTGGTGGCTGGTGGCTGCCAGAGTGGGTCGTTATAAACGGCCCACTCTGGCAAGCGCTCGGAGAAGGCCCAGTGGAGACCTCGTGACATCCAACGCAATCGTGACGTAGGTCGTCTCAGGACGAGCAAAGCTACGGCGAGGCTGACGTCGAGAGGATGGCCTAGTCATTCCAGCCAAAGAAAGTGGCTGCTTTTGTACGAATTTTGAGTGACGGGTTAATCTTCTGTAATCTTGTAGGGGGACAATAGCGACTTCTGCGACACACAAAAGGCATTCTCGGGAAGAGGGGAGTTCGTCCTGCCCCTCTTCTCTCGTCGTGGCCGGAGGCGAGACAACCTCCGTCACTAGCTGCCAAGGTTCTTAGACGAGCATTACAAGCGAGGCGTTAGCGACATGCACCAGGTGCTCTTTGCTAATCGTTTAATTCGTTTTAAAATTCCTTTTCGTGACTTTTTTGACAAAATATTGGTATGTTCGATGTGATGCTGCTCCTTTGAACACATATAGACCAAAAAATGAGCGCCGAAATTTTGTTGTAGTATCCCTTCAAGATGTGATTGAGCTTAAGGGGAAAGTCGGGACTGTTATGCGGGGGTCTATAGCATACGCCGAATAGAACAGTTTGAGGAGCTACTTGGCAGATAAGCCATAATATTTCTAGGTCAGACATAATGTTGAGAACAGAACATGACAAATGTTGGCTAACGGCAATAAGGACACCTCCCCCTCGAGTGCCCTTTACGATCGTTACAAAAGAGGTGGAAAGTCGGTAGATCAGCCAACACCTCAGAGTCTGTGACGTCATTAGTCAGCCATGTTTCAGTTAATATCAGTAAATTGCTGGCAGATGACGACACAAGATTGGACATGAGTTTGCACTTCTGAAGGAAATTATGTATGTTTGTAAAGATTGCAGAAAAAGAAAGATTTGTTCGGGCAGTAGTCTGAGGGTGTTGTGTTACTCGCTGATAGCGG